ATCCAGGGACTCCCGGAGCAGGTCCTGGAAGGGAAATTTGGCATTCAGAGATTCCCAGAGCCGGTCCTGGAAGGGAAATTCGGCATTCAGAGATTCCCAGGACAGGTCCTGGAAGGGAAATTCGGCATTCAGAGATTCCCAGGACAGGTCCTGGAAGGGAAATTTGGCATTCAGAAACTCCCAGAGCAGGTCCTGGAAGGGAAATTTGGCATTCAGAGATTCCCAGAGCAGGTCCTGGAAGGGAAATTTGGCATTCAGCGATTCCCAGGACAGGTCCTGGAAGGGAAATTTGGCAGCCAGTGACTCCCAGAGCAGGTCCTGGAAGGGAAATTTGGTATTCAGAGACTGCCAGAGCAGGTCCTGGAAGGGAAATTTGGCATTCAGAGACTCCCAGAGCAGGTCCTGGAAGGGAAATTTGGCATTCAGAGATTCCCAGAGCAGGTCCTGGAAGGGAAATTTGGCAGGGATTCCCAGAACAGGTCCTGGAAGGGAAATTTGGCATTCAGAAACTCCCAGAACAGGTCCTGGAAGGGAAATTTGATTTCCAGGGACTCATAGGACAGGTCCTGGAAGGGGCATTGAGATCCAAGGGGTCACAGAACAGGTCCTGGAAAGGACAATGGGTGGGTCTCCAACATCTAGGGCAGGTCCTGGAAGGGCAATTCCCCTCACGTGAGGTTCTAGGACAGATTTTGTGAGAATGTGGCAGGATCGGGGATGATCCCGGCGCGGGTCCTGGCAGGGAAATGCGCTGGAACAAAGGCACGATCCTGAAAGCGTCGGTGGATTACATCCGGAAGCTGCAGAAGGAGACGCAGCGATCGCGGGAGCTGGAGCTGCACCAGCAGCGCCTGGAGCAGGCGAACCGCAGCCTCCAACTGCGGGTGCAGGTCCGGGGACACGGGAACGGGGAGGGAACGGGACCGGGAGTGCGGGAGAGGGGACAGGAATGGAGCCGGGAGTGCGGGAAATGGGACCGGGAATGGAGCCGGGAGTGCGGGAACGGGGCCGGGCGTGCGGGAGAGGGGACCGGGAATGGGGGAGAGGGGACTGGGAATGGGGGAAAGGGGACCGGGCATGGGTCCGGGAGTGCGGGATTGGACGGGAACGGGGACGGGAGTGCGGGAGAGGGACGGGAACGGGCCGGGAATGAGGGAGAGGGGACCGGGAATGCGGAATCGGGCCGGGAATGCGGGAATGGGACCGGGAACGAGACCGGTAGTGCGGGAGAGGGGACCAGGAATGGGGGAGAGGGAACCGGGAGTGCAGGAGAGGGGACCGGGAATGGGGCCGGGAGTGCGGGAACGGGGCGGGAGAGGGACCGGGAGTGCGGGAATGGGGCCGGGAGTGTGGGATCGGGGCGGTAACGGCGCCAGAAGTGCGAGAGAGGGGCCAGGAATGGGGCCGGGAGTGCGGGAACAGGCCGGGAACAGGATCGGGAGTGCGGGAACGGGACGGGAACGGGGCCGGGAGTGCGGGAACGGGACCGGGAATGGGGCGGGTGCAGGTCCGGGAGTGCGGGAGAGGAGCGGGAGTGCGGGAACGGGACCGGGAATGCGGGAGAAGGGCCGGGAATGGGGGCGGGAATGGGAATGAGGGGAC